CTGGTGGACGTACGACGTTTTGGTACCCACCCACTCTAACTTCCTTCCAGCTGAACGAAGTGTGTCGACATGGGGCAGTGGCGTAGGACGATAAGGATGGCTCTTCGCCGTGTGTAGCCTGACACTTGAGAGTCCTTGTCTGCTGCTATTAATTTAATCTGCTTCCAGATTTGCAGTAACACGTTCCAAAGTCATGCCATAAAATTACATTACGTGATCTAGCAAACTAACTGTTGAATAACCTAACAAGCAGTTTCGTGTCTTCTATGCAGGCGATCATGACGAAGGTGTCTTGTGGCAGGTCACGTCCGTTTCCTCGCCATCAAACAGGCCTAGAGCCAATATTTCATTTTATCAACTCACACAGCGCAGTAAATTACAACCACGAAGATGATTGTCTTCAGTGATGTTGCACGTATAGTCTGATATACTTACCGATGTCTCATAAGAAGTTATTACCTCCATCATCAGGGTTTAGATCCTCTGAAACGTCGGTTCGCATCCATCAGACGATGCAACATGACAGAAGACAGCCATTTTCAGTGGTATTGTTGCGATGGGGCGAGACTTCGTCTCTGTAGAACTGGACCTCTGGAGACCCTTTGTCCACCTCCCATATGAATGATACCGTCTACCACAAATCCCGTATGTACTGCACTAAGTGTGAATCCAGGCGTTCGCAGACAACTTCGTACTCATCACCGTAAGAACCTCAAATCTCACAAATATAATTATCTACCATAACCAGGTTCCTACCCAACTAACTACCTGACTCTACAGTAAAGACAGGAGACATTCGGCTGATCGAGAATTTCTCATTACAGACCCGGAAGTCAGTTTCGTTCTGCAACCTTGTACGATTTTATAGTGACCTTGAAATATGCAATTTGATGACGGCTGCTATATTTTCTATGTTCTACAGAGCTTAACATTTCAATCTTAACTTGTTCTTAATTCTAAATGGACTTTCTAATTACTTGACTGGTTATTTTAACAAGTTGAATCTTTCGGAATATCCCTGCTGTTTACTGCACTTCTGTCGGAAGTCTTTCTCAAGAAACTTTGAAGTTAATCTGAGAGCGAACAACCACAAGTCTTAAAGTCCAGGTGGATGCAGACTTCATCCTCCCACGACAGGACAGATTAATGGAAGTTTCTGAGTTCAGGAGCTGCTAAGGAGACTTCCACGGTTCAGTTAGTACAAGTCGAATTATCGGAATTGTCTCCTGGGGGGGAATTGTAGGCGAACACAGAGTTCCCAAGTTTCCTCGAGATTTCACATTCCTCATTAATCAACATACCACGTTTACTACAGATATCGATCTACTGATAGCACAGGTAAATATCATCAGGCCTATGGATATTATCTAAAGACAAGCGATAGTAGTTCATTTGTTACACCAATATTACGTTGGACATTTTTCAATACCTGAAATTCAGGCTAATGATAAGTTATTATACTAGTTGCTAGGATACTAGCATGGTATTCTATTTAACACTGTCCCCTCATGCCTTACCTCTGTAAGATAAAAGATTTAACGAGGTACAGTATGACAACAAAACATCAGTTTCGTTTATCTGCATTAGTTTTCTTTTGCTAACTACTCAGCTACTAGCTGAACAGAATTATGAAGTAATTAATTAATAATAATATTAAACGTGTTTTAATGTTTAATATTCATATTTATAAATGTTTAATCAAACAGTAAAATAAGTACAAATATTTTACTATTTACATATTATACGGTGTATTAAAATGGCTTTAAAACACGAAATGGAGAGATTTAAAGTAAGCAGATTACTCGCAGTGGAGTTTAAAGTTTATATAAGAAATTGAATAAATATATCCAAAAAGAGGTGCAGCTAATCGGAAACGAGAACAAAGGCAAGATCCAACATTGCATTAAAGTTGGCGAAATGGAAACACGAACGATAAGAACATTCCTTTGAGAGCGTCAAATTTAAAGACGTGGAATAAACGAACATTTGCGAACAGACGGATTGGATAGTAAGATTAAGTCAGGGGGGGGGCGGGGGGGTATAAGAACGAGAGTATTAAAACAGTGAACTATAATACAACAAAACGCTGGAGGATAATAAAGAAGAATGGAGACGGCTATGTAAGAAGACGTCCATCCTATTTGGTTCGTTACTATTATTAACTCCGAAGAGCAGTTCTTTTGTTACCGCGTTCACAAGAGACCGCCACTGGTCCATATACTGAGCCACATGAATCCAATCCACAACCCCCACCCTATTTCTTTCAGGTCAATTTTGATTTCATCCTCCCATCGACGCCTAGGTTATGAGGATTAACAGAAAAGAGAAGACATCTTTCTGAAACTTCGATGTTTTGCCAAAGTGAAGGCTTGAAGAAACAGTATTAGAAGCCAAGATGTCGGACAGGAGATATGAAGATACTAGTAAGGAGACACGTCGATTAACGTAGACCCCAACAGTAAAGTAATAATGACGTAGAAACAGAACAGAAAGATACACGTAAGAATGAGGTACAAATAATTTTTAAACTGATTTAAAAAAAAAAATGTTCCGTAAGACTTGAGGTTCTCACAGCGGTGAGTATGAAGATTTCTGCCTTCTGGGTTATTGCGCTGTGTAGTCTGGTCGATGTTAACCAACGTTTCAGAGGTCATACTGCCTCCGGAGGAGACGGATATCTTCAAAAAATGTTCCATCTGAACAACAAGATCACTTACTTACACCCACGGGCCAACAAATCGCATTACTGAAATACGATTTCCAACGAAACCAAACCAAGAAAAGTCAAAATACAATAAATATGTTGACGTGATAAAAATCCAAATATCCATAAACAACATAAAAACAGAGCTGACGTTCATTATGGAATGAATTATAAAAACTCTTATTATTATTCAGATCTGAAACCATTTTGTCGACAGGTCTACTTTCAAGAGCCTTAAGATCAGTGCATCTAAAACTATAATTTCGATGGTTATTTTTTATATCTGTGAAACGTGGCCTCTTGCGTTGAATCAAAAGCAAACATTGCAAGTGTCTGACAACAAAGTTCATTAATTCAGTGAGAAATTTACATTACGTGCCAAGAACGTGACACACAGATGGCATTGCTGTCTCGGTGCATAAAAATTAATTGCAAAGAACGTGATGTATTTATCAAAATCTATCATTTCAAATATTTATTTTACTTTCGTGTTTCGGGTGTGGAATTTGATGCCTGGAGTTGATTAAAACGCGTGTCCCTGAAGATGCATACTGACTGGTGCAGGGCCAATTCACTATCGGCGATTGAATGTGAAAGTTGAGGGGGATAAATTGCGCTACACCAGAGCAGGCGGACTGTGTAATGTGTCTTTCAGGGCACTGAACGGTAAAGCGAGAAAAACTTTGCAAATTCCCTTTATCGGCATTACAGTCATCATATGACAGGAACACAATCACAGGACATGTTAAAGAGAATATACCTATTACCTAACGTCCATGACAACGTAAATGACGAACAGAAAAACCATATCTGCTTTAATGACGCTACTGTAACTCGGTCTCATGCGCTGTAATGTTGAGGTCACATGTTCGAATCTACACCAAGCTTATTGAAAACCGTAAAATGCAGAACTCGAATCCGATGCTTCGATGTGTAGCACGCAGACACGCGTGAGTTCTACAGTCCCAATGCGTGTACTGCGTGTTACGGGTCTATTGATTTCCGTGCAGCCAACCGCCTACCCCTTCCATCCCCAACACTTCCCTAACGACCGTCACTCAAGTTTTCTGACAACATAACCACATTATTTACTTGGTCACTACGTCTCTACTTTCGCGGTAAATATAAGTCTTATCTAGCATAAGAAATATGCATCCCATTAAAAATAAAAAAACACAGCACGCAAGTAGGGGAGATTTAAAATAGAATTAGGTTATTGATAAAACCTGGGCAAATGCATCTACCTTACAATATGAAACATTCTAAAGGCGATTTTCTAAGTCCATGCTGTGTCATAAACGTCTGTGACAAAAATAGATTCTCTGAAAGTTTTACATCACTGCGTGGGCTCATTTTTTAGAGCCTCTCTGCTTCGTCATTTTATATTCTAAAAGCATTCGCTTCATTTCGGTTGATTGCACGTAGGAACTCCCATTCCATGAATATGTCCCTACAGATACCACATGTAAACCTGCAGAGTTCCCAAGAAAGTAATTTAAGATATTTGCAAAACCTCCAAAGTTTTACTGTATCTGTGTACAGCGTTACAGAAGTTTAGAATAGGCCGAGAGGCCTTTGGACATTTACCAGATTTTGTTGGACTGCATAACTTAGTTTACTTATGTGGTGGTTGCATCACATACAGAAATATCCATATGATAATGAAACGTAACAACCTAATTACAATTGCACCTAAGAAAACTGAATTAGTTCTAATCAGACTGACTTTTACTCAGGGGATACAATTTTGGAATCACAATCGGTTCTCCGCAATTAACATTAGTTTCATTTAAATACATACAACCATTCATTCTTACGATTTTTTTGAATTCGTCGTTTTTGCAACACCCGGTATATGCAGTGGACTTGAAGAGACTAGTACGATCCTCTTCTTAATTATTTCTAATTACCCAAGCTCTTTGTTACCGGCACAGATAATATCATATTGTACAGGTTCTATACGAATATCAAAATAAAGACACATGCATCCACGTGTTGATACAACTTAACCGTCCCTACTTCCAAATGCCAGAACGTAAAGTAAAGTATGATTTACTGGTGCGAACCTGTTGTCGACTTTTTGTTAGCACACTTCTGGAAATATGCTTTTATGTAAGTGTCCCACGTCATCATCTTACGAATCGTTCGGCTAAGAATGAAACAGTGTAATGTTAGCTCAACTACGCCATGTTCTAGGCCCCCAAACCTTTATCAATCACTTTTTTTTTTTTCCCGCAGACGATATCACTAGGCCCCCAAACCTTTATCAATCACTTGTTTGTTTTTTTTCCCGCAGACGATATCATCAGAGGATGATTTTGATCCTGATACAACTATTTCGAAGTGGAGTTACCCACGGAATCAGTCGGTGTGCTCACACATTGTAGTACCAAGTGGAAACCGGAAGTAACAGACGAATACACAGGCGCATAATCACCCGATATCACCGGAAATAGTGGGGACCTCCATATTTTCACTCAATCAAGCGATGTAAGGAAGCAAGTGTGTTTGATGTTGACAGAATTTGTTAGTTTGTAAACTTCATTAGTGTCCAGCAAAAACGAGGGCTCTGAAAGGGTGTCGTTACTTATTTTTGAATATCAAAATACAGTACTTTAATTCAGACATGAAGAATCAAGAGATATCATAAAATTAGAAAACAAACATCAAAGTCTAATAATACAGAAACCTCAAGTTCACACGTCATTAGTGAATCTTAAAGTGTTAAGATTTTAAACAGTATAATCACATAGTGTAGCAATGGTGACGAAGTTTCAAGCTTTAATAATAAAGTGTTTAGATGGGAAGTGGACATTTAATCTCAATAACTTTAGAAATAAATGTGACAATCATTTGTGGAAATCTACTACTATACACTAATTATCGAGAAAAATTCGAAGAAGCTGACTGTGGTCCTGAGATGAAGAAAACATGACAGATGACCTCGACTCTGATCTGGAATTTTCCTCACGGTCGAAGGACAAAAATTCATCAGTGACGATGCTGTCACGAACTGACATAACAGTTGAAGAAGATGCCCTAAATCACAGGAGCAGTAGAGGTAAGATACAAGAAACATAAATTTAATCTAACAAGTGTCAGAGAAATTAAGTATATTCGTGCCTACGAAGAGTCACGCAACGAAAAGATAAATGTGGCTTTTATTGTAGACATTAGATTGCAATTACATAATAAGGTTATAAATACAGGATATTATATATATAGTGCCCCTCACCCTGTTGTAGATAATATTGGACCCGCTTAAACAAAGTCTCTAAAGAGAAGCTCTGTTAAAAAAACTTATCCTTTCATCACCAACAGAAATAAAACAAAAATACCTCGAATATAATTTTCATTAAATTAATTATTCGGTTTTGTCCGTCTAATCACAATTATATTTAAAATTTACAAATAAGATAATTAAAATATCATTTTATGTTCCACATCGAATAATCGATTTACATTTGGATTATTCGATGTGGAACATAAAATGATATTTTAATTATCTTATTTGTAAATTTTAAATATAACTGTGATTATACGGACAAAACCGAATAATTAATTTAATATTTGATTCACAATATGACGCAATTACACTATCTTATAATTTTCATTTTTCACGCCATCTACTTCAGAACACAATTTAAATTATAAGAACTTCCTGGCACTTCCCCCAAGGTCTAATATTCTACCATTCATCTCGCCTTTCTTACCGAATAGCAGTCCAAGCTAGACGTAGGCGAAACATCTGGTACGAATAATAGCCATTAGACAGCTACGTCTGTCCTATGCGCTATCATCACCGCTTAATCGATAGTATGCGTTTGCTGACGTACCATTTCTGTCAAGTTTCATTATAGAACAGCGCCTTCGTCGTTCCAATGCCGTCTCTGTACACAAAACCGTGGTGTAGTTTAAGTTACAACAATTTTCCGTGGAGAAAATTACAGCTCTTAACTCGAGATTGTAATATCGATAATTGTATGAAAATGACTGTTTTAAACCTGCAGTCTTAACAAAAAAAGAGTTTGTAAATTGGTACTATTTTTAATAACACAGAACAAACATGAAAACAAGAGACGCAACCAGATCATATGTTAGGTCAGCTAACAACGTAATGCAAAGCAGATAAGTATCTGAGTACTTTATTAAGTTTTAATACACACATAACGTGTTACTTATTTATATATATATATATGATGTAAAATGTTACTTCCTACATCCTATTATAATCAATTCTCAATAGGTTTTACTTATATCCTACATAAACCGTGAAGAAGGATATAGTTCAAAACCATGTGAACATAAAATGGGTTTGTGTTTTAAAAATATTAATGTGTAATTCGCGTTTCATTTAAACCACCGGTGTTTCTAACTCCACCTCCCCCGCTCTTTCGCCAAAACACTGATGAATCTAATTAAAAAAAGTAAACCAGAATTACGAGACATCAGAAACTTCCATCGCATTCAATGTCTGGTTTCAAATAATTTGAAAATATTCACAGAGCTTTTGAGATGGCTGTTACGCCGTGTAGTCGGGTAGAAACTAACTGATGTTACGGATGTGCTTACCGCGTCCTTCATCAGGGCGATGAGTCAAAGATTCATCAAGAAATTGAGAAACGCTGTAGAAATGAGTATCAAACTTCTTATTTCAGCTCTCAAGAAAGAATTACAGTTGCATGAAGCTGTCATTAAAAATGACGCCGACGCTGTGAGACGCGTCCTGAAGGAACCACTGGACATCAATTCTCGCAACAATGTGAGTAGCTTAAACACAAATCAGGAATTAGTTATATTCCTATAATTGTTACACCAACATTACGTTAG